CCCCCCCCCCCCCCCCCCCCGTTCACTCCAACCAGCTCGTTGTGTGTACAAAATTTGATTTGAGCTGAATAGACTCCCCGTCGGCAAAAACGTGCGCGTGCCCCTGCGCCCCCTCTCCCACCCCTTTTGTACATGATGTGTTTTGGTTTTGTTTAGACCGCCCTACGTTCAGCCCTGGTACACAATAACTCATCCTTTCATATTTGGCTTTAACCTTGCAATCGAACCAATCCGACTCTGTAGTCGAGGTCGCCAAGAAAGACCGTTGTGCGGCAGCAATCAACTAAGGCAAAACCTGTGTCAGGGAGTCTTACCCTGATCTCTCTCCTCCTTCCCGACCTGTGGTCCCTACATATTAAATTATACAGAACCTTCCTGCGAGGAAACGGCGGTGGGGAACGTCTGGTCTGCGCGCACGCTGCTGCCGTGTGTGCTGTATGTGTGCACCGTGCCACACAAACCATGATTCGACCATACGACTGACACCGATCGTCCGGCTCGGTTCGTTCGCGTGCTGGACATGACAAGAAAAGGTCTGTAACAGCTCAATCCCCTGACCCCAATAGCCCCTTGGCTCAATATTGCTACAAGATTTTCCCTTAACCCCGACGTAAAACCGACAACCACACCAGAGTTACTGGTGGTAGCTCTCGCCTGTGTGCCTTCGATCTCACGACCGTTACTTTCACCGTGCTCACACGAAGAGTCACAGGGGGGGGCGACAAAGCCAACATAGCCCCGACATCGCATACACACATGCAGGGGAGAAATAGCAAACAGATCCTCGGGGGGAATACACCGCTCGCATGCAACAACCAACCAATAAGCCGACAAGCAAGAGCGATCCAAACGTGGCAGCCAAACACCACACCGGGTCTGCTTACAGCCAAACTACCAGGGAAACATGAAATTTGCAAACAATACCCGACGACGAGCGCTGTTCTTAATTAAAGCGAGCTGGCAAACACGAAACAAAACAAAATGCACAGATTTTCCCGACGAGCATCGCCAACCCCCCCAACCCACCCCGAAGCCGCACCATCCATTCTTGCGGCTCCGCAGTGTGTTGGTTCTTCAAACCCCAGCATGTTGGTTGTCTCCTCTCTTTCCCACGCGCCCCTGCGCCAAAAGGAGGCGTGGCCCCACACTCGCCTCCCAGGCGGCACCCGTCACCCTTGCCGCCAGGGCCCGGTCGTGTTACGCCTCTCAAGCTCTCAAGCATCAAGGCAAGAACAGTCGCCGCCACTGCCGGACGGTGACCTTGGAAGACACAACGGTAGCCGACGCGCAGGGAGCCAGCCCACGACGTCCGAGAATGTTCGAGCTGCTCTCCGCCTCGGCAGCCCCTGCCCCTGCCGCCGCCGCCGCTCCGCAACGGGTGCCGCCGCCAATCACAGCAGCGGGGGTGGTTTTCTCCTCATTCGAGGCGATCACCGGGTCCTCTCCTCCGGCTGCATCTTCTTGGAGCGTCGTCGAGCCCTCCTTCGAAACCTCGGAACCCTCCTCCCCGGCGGGACGACTAGGACAAGCGCCGCCGATGGCGTCGGCAGGGGTTGCGTTGCTCGCTTCTTCTCGCCGGCACATTTCCGACACCGATGTCGTCGAATCAGCCGCCACACAGCCTGCTTTCGCCTCCGCTCTGGCGGCGGGCGGGGCCGCCGGCGCAGGCACCATCGGTCCTTCCTCTACCGTTGACGGGCGCGACGGGCGAAAGGCCTGCGCGTAAGGATGCACGATCGTCGTCGTCGTTGCTGCTGCGCGCACCTCCGCCTTCCTGCTGCCCCCGCTCCCACGAAGGAGGCCTTCCGTCCCGTGAACCCGGTGCTGGGCGGGAAACGCTCCCACTCGCGGGATGGGGGCGAGCGGAGGGAGGCGTTCGCGCGGGCAGGCCGCGCCGCCGGTGGTTTCTTGAACGCCGCCGGCAGATCGGCCGTCGGTGCGGCTTGTATGCTGACGAGATGGCGCCAACAAGCTCGCGCCCCCGATGCCGGTGGCGGCGGCGGCGCAGCCTGCATCGTCGGGGTCGTGCTGCTTCCTGCTGACACCGGGGGCGTTGCTGCCCCCGCTGCCGCTGCAAGCAGCGGCCGCGGCTCCGCCCCCACCTCCGCCCCCGCCCGTCTCCCTCGACGCGAAGCTGTCGGGACGACGGCCAGTCAGGTGGTTGTTGTAGTTGTCGAAGCCGGCTACGGCTACCGCCGAGGCCCCGCCGCCGCCGCCACGCGCAGCGCCGACCCCCCCGACCCCGCTGCCGCTGCCGACACTGGTCTCCCCGTCTTCGCTGTCTACCGTCTGCCAGTCCGCCACGGACGACTCCTGCGAAGAGGTGTCGTCCCCGGCAGCGCTGGCGCCAAAGGTCCCCGTGCTGTTGCCCGAGAGCACCGCCGAGGTCCAGCCCAGGTCCCGTTGCTGCCGCCGGGACATGATCGCCGTGCGACGCCACGGCTTCGGCTCCGGCGGTGCGTCCAGGAGGAGCCCCGTCGGCCACGATAGCGGCTGCGGCTGCGGCGGCTCGTGCCGGTAGCGGTGCATGCCCCCCCCCCCCCC